AAAAATAAAAATTTTCAACTAAAAAAAATAAAAATTAAAAATTTCAGATAATAGAAAATTTCCTATAGTTTATGTGCTGTTTTTTTTTTACGTAACACTGAAATTAAATACTGACATAATCTCAACCCTTCTCTAAAAAACATAAAAGGGTACCTTCCCTTCTATTGCAGATGGTACAACTGAAAGGGGTGGTAGGGTTGACTCGCAGGGTGTTAAAAAACTCGCACGTGTCCGTGTTTGCTCAACTTTCATCCCAAGGTTGATTCATTGTTAAATTTCTAACCAAATACCTAAAACAACAAAAATTAAAAAGTTAGTAAACAAAAATTAAACTTTTTACCTTTGACATTTGACAGTTGTTGCTAAAGCAGGAAACTGCTTGAAACGCTCGAATGTGCCCGAGATGGCGCCGCTACAGACAAATTCAATTCGAATAAATTCGCTTTAAACTGTGAATTAAACAAAAATTAGGAGTTTTTTCTTTTGTATGTCACTTTTTATCAATTTAGTTACAGTGACACAAACTGATTAAAAATTTAGCCAACTTGTAATTAAATGGCACAGTAATTATGACAAGATAAATGACTGACATCATATGACTGACAATAGTACATTTTGGAATAAGAAGTTGGTACAGAAAGCAAATACAGTGCGATCAAAAAAAAAATTAGAGTAGGCGGTGATTAAAGTCCTTCAGATGGCAATCCTGATTTTTGACATCAAATGTCAGCGGAAACATTGACAAGTTTGCGTTTTATTCCTTTTGAGTGAAATAATGTTCACTTTAGAGCAGAAAATTTATATTGCTCTACAAGACGAAAACGGTGAATGACCACTTTCAGTTTGTGTGGAAAATTTCTAGCCCAAATTCCCAGCCAATGTGTTGCCAACAGTAGAATTTAATCGACGCCTACCCTAATTTATTTTTTATTTGATCGCACGGTATTTATTAGAAAAGATAGAATTATTAGAAAAGAAAAAAATAATTAGAAAAAGACATTTAACCAATGAGTTCAAATCGACTTTGTCTTCTGCTGTCTTCTTTCGAATCACGGTTTATTAGAAATAATTTATTTTTTAATCGATATTTTGTTTTTCATCAAATAGCAGTTAACGTTGGTGAAATATCACTACACCTGGTGATTTTGATGCTACTGATGCCAGTCCAGTGACTTGGTGAAAACTGTTGTAAAAATTTCAATAACTCTGATGATCTTTTATGTAAGCAGGAATAATTAGTGTATTTTCAAATCTTTGTTTTTTAATTAAGTATTCCCCCAACCACTTAATATTAATTTTTTTGTGCCATCGTCAAGGAAAAAAAAATATTTTTTTAATTAGTAGTACCTAGGTAAATAAATTAGATCAAAAATGATTGCACGTTTTTAAGCCAAAAACTCAATTATTTTACAAAACTTTTTACAAAATAAATAAAAAAATCACTAAATTAATTAAGAAAATGGTTTTATTTGTATTTTATGAAATATATTTCAATCTAGAGCGTCAAAAAATGACAACATTGGGTGATATATTAAGTCAAAATCGACATTATATTTCTTTTCTGAAGTGTTTTTGTCTGTTTTGTAGGTAACAACGTAAATATTTTGCAAATTGTTGAAAACAAGTCAAAAAATTACAGAATTAGACCAAAAGTAGTGTTATTATTGTCTTTTTCTTGCGTTTAAGCAGGTTTTTGAGTAAATTTGCAAGATGTAAACCTGAAATCTAGTAAAATCTTAAATCTAGTAATCTGGTAAAAATAGGAAACTTTTTCAGTTCGGATCTGGTAAATTTATTTTTTTTGAACTAGCAACACTGTAAAACACCACCTTTACAAAAATAAAATAGAGAACTAAACAAAACTCATATTTCAAATGCATTTCAAGGATGTCACTCATTTATTTCACAACTTTACAAAAAGAAATTGATATTGAAGCTACGCGTAGATAAGAATTGGACAATAATACAATTTTATTTTTACCAACATCAAAACTTTTATAAGATATAAAAAGTCCAATACTAGGTACATTTCTCTGCATTATATTTATCTTTTGTTCAAAACTGTACAAGACATAGTGCTATGACCCACACTATGAGGGTCGTTTCCCTAATGACACAACGTGAGGGCGAAACAATAGAAAAAATTTGGCTAATATCGCAGATCAATGTAATCGAACACGATGTTCCGCTGTCCAATGGTCGAAATAATTGCGAACAGTGAGGTCGGGTGCAGAATAATGATAGACACCCTATCGGCGAGTTTAAAAATCCACCACAACAATATCTTAAAAATTAGACACGCTGTTATTATCATGAAATGAAATTTGTCAAAGAGGGTGTATCTCGATAGCCCCCTGTGGCCTCAGACCAACGAAATCATACAACACATTAAAAATCATAGCGCCCCCGCAGCGATTTATGCTACATTACCCCTGCTGATAGCGAGGGCATTTTCCGTGACTTTCCGGGAACAATTCTGTAAAATTTCTAGATTTGCCAATGCAATAAATAACCCCCGACTGTTTTATTTAAAAAAAAGTGGCCAACTTCAGGTAAAGTTTGAAAGTGTTTTTGGTGATGGAAAAAGTCGCAGCTGTCGTATAAAATGATTAAGGAACAATTTTCTCACTGTAGACTGTCTTTTATTTCATTATTCTATTATTGATTAGTGCTCGCAGGCTAACGTGCTGCGCTTTCAAACAATTAACCCTGCCAATAATAAAGGATCATATTTGTGTCCAAAGTTTTGATGAAAAAGCGTTGATATTTTTTCTATGACACGACGAAGTCCGGGGATCCCCTTACGGAAACTGGGAACATTAAGCCTTCACGGTCTCAAAGTTTAAATTATTTGTAGTCGTAGAGTGTGTGTCCATGCGATTTAAAAATACCCTAAGAAAAAATAGATATAAATCTCCTTAACTGCACATCAGTGAAGTAGATAATAGAAATGTAATATTATTACAGTTACGTTACCTGTAATGTTAGACGACGATGACGCAGATGTAAGATAACCCAATTAGGATATGAGTTCTGCAATAAGCAAACAGAAGAAGTCCGTCGTCGTGGCAACCCCTGGTCTGCCTAGCTAGACAAAGGAGAGCTAACTTATCTTTAATAAGGCGATCAATTATGAAGCGAACGAAACTTCTGTGCAACTTTCCACTGTAATTATATCTTTCTAATTGCTTTCCATCTTTCTTTCTAACCAGATTTACAGTAAATACATCATAACACTTCAAACACGATCGAACGTTAGAGCAAAACTCACACAAATTATCGATTACCCATCGGTTTTTATAATAAAACTTTATAACAAAAGATTGATGATAATTTTAAGGCAAAAAAATTCTAGAACCTGATCTTGTTAAATTAAATAGAAAATAATTTTGTTGAATAAACTCTTATCTAAAAATATGTTATACAAATTAATCATTAATGTCATATAATTTTTAATTTTTTTTTATTTNTAATTTTTTTTTATTTGTAAACGAACAAGTCTGCATTATGAACATTATGGAACCGTCTCAATAATTAGTCTCAGAATCTTTTTTTAATTAACTAGTAAGTTATTTAAATTTTTGTTACTAAACCATAATAAATAGAAAAAAAAACATATCTCAGATTTATGATCAAGAGAGAACTGTTTAATGTACCTATATTTTATAAAATTGATTTTCTGATGCATATTCAGGTTCTGAATTCACTCTTGTTATTTGTTGTTATTTATTAGAATATTACAACAAAAATATTAAAACATTTTTATAAAAATTTACCTATGTGTCGTATTTAATATTAATAGACGCATGATTTAAAAACTGTCGATCTTAGATCTTTAACAGAAACATTAAATTGTTTTATTAAAAATAATGGTGTTTTTTTGTCATGGGGTTGTAGGGCCGTGGAAATAAAATAATGTACACATATCTCGCTGAAAAGGTCTAACGTACTTGTGGACTCCTCAGTTGTGCGTTATTTGTCACTTTCCGTACTCGTTGAGTCGTATTATATTTATGCAACACTGTGTAAGAATACCGGGTGTCCCAGGGAGGCTTGGATATAGGAAATCAACATGGGAAATTAGTTTTTATTTTTTTTTCGGCTGCAGTAATAACAGAAATCAAAATCTGATCGATGGAGCTTGTAGTGCTCGAAAAGGGCTATCTAATCGACATTTTTATCAATTCACCAATTCACTCTATTTAGGCGAAAACGGCCCTAGAAAAATTACAATTTGAATTTGCTGGGTTAGCATTACTAAGAAACGAACTATCAAGCCATTTTTGCCAATAGAGACAGTTCGTTTCTTAGTAACTCTAACCCCGCAAATTCAAAATTTTGATTTTTGGGGCACGTTTTCGCCCAATTGGAGTTAATTGGTGAATCGATAAAAATAAAATAAAAGAATAAAAAATAGCCCTTTTCGAGCACTACAAGCTCCATCAATCAATTTTGATTTTTGTTTCTCCTGCAACCGGAAAAAAATAAAAACTAATTTCCCATATTAATTTTCTATATCCAAGCCCCTGGTACATATATGCGTTGAACACTTTTGAAACTTGTTATAACAAGTCTCAATTAGTCTGTACTTTTTTTTAATAATAATTAGTAAATTATTAAATTTTTTGTTACTAAACTGTAATGAATACATAAGAAAAACATATCTCGATTTTATGAAATTAGAGAAAACTGTATACAAAATAATATAATATAATATTTTTTATTTTTTGACTTTCTGATGCTTTAGCCTCTGAATCCACTCTTGTTGTTATTTCAAAATGTTACAACAAAAATATAAACATATTTTTGTGAAAATAATATGTAATATAACTTACTTACAAATAATTTAGTTTAAAAAAAATCTGAAATTTACTGAAAATTTTGAGTCGTGAGAAAGATGCACGGCGCCCTCCTGCAGAGAACTTCCACATCTTCCACATGTTAACATTTGCCGGCTGTTTGCCGGCAATAAAGAACTCTTCTTTAGTTTGAGTGTTTCTTACCGCCATAATTTTTGTTTGAGCGGGAAAAGCACTCAGGGTTTACATTAGTTCGTGATATTTTACTTTTAACCGTTTTTTAATTCGTTTTAATTGCATTCCCAAACCAAAAATCAAAATGGTTAATACTCCAACAAAAAATTACGTTCGCAAGAGAGGTAAGTTTCGCCAGGGGTTTTAAGGTTATAAAATAAAATTTCTGGATTTTTGTTATTAGATGGACGAAAAGAGGAAGTTCACCTCGATAAAATCACATCCCGGATTCAAAAATTATGCTACGGCTTAAATATGGAATTTGTCGATCCTGTAATCCATGTTTGCAGTAAAAAAGTATTTGCTAAATTTAATAATTCCAGGTCTCAATTACGTTGAAAGTCATTAATGGATTATACCCCGGTGTTACAACAGTGGAATTGGATACTTTAGCTGCTGAAACTGCGGCTATGATGACTACGAATCACCCGGATTATGCAATTCTTGCTGCCCGAATTGCGGTCTCTAATTTGCATAAAGAGACCAAAAAGCAGTTCAGTGGTAAGTTGGAAGATTGCTTTTTTTATATCATTTCTATTTCGAGAGTTGCTTGGTATCCCAGTGCTCACTGAAGTCGATGTTCTATGTTGCGAAAACTTCCAGGTTTTTTGTTTTGTTACCTTTCATTCATTTTTAAATTTTTTAATTGTAGTGGTGTTTTTCAGTGATAATTTTCTTCACGTCTTAATCTTGACCGCGAATGAGTAGAAATCTATTTATTAAATTAATGATCTATTAACTACAACATTGAATAAAAAAAATAAGAGTATTTTCTAATATTCACTTCAATTGTTGAGCAGTGTATTTTTTAATAGCCTTATATCAAGTGTTTGAAACAACTAATAATACATTTTCAGAATCATAAATGTGACCACAATGTTTTCATATTAAAATTAAAAAAATATACAAGAAACATGGCGATTTAGAAATATGTAATGTTTTTGCTTTTCTTAATTAATGCTCTTTTTTTAACAGATGTAATCGACGACCTGCACAAGGCCGTGAGCACCAAAACTGGCCGAAAAACCCAAATGATCTCCGACGAACACCACGCCATTATCATGAAAAACGCCGACCGTATCAACTCTTGCATAATCTACGACCGCGATTTTTCGTACAATTATTTTGGTTTCAAAACTCTTGAACGTTCCTACTTATTAAAAATCAACGGAAAAATTGTGGAACGCCCCCAGCACATGCTGATGCGAGTTGCTGTGGGCATCCACGGCGAAGACATCGACGCGGCTATAGAAACGTACAATTACATGTCTGAAAAATACTTCACACACGCTAGCCCGACTTTGTTCTCTGCTGCAACCCCCAAACCACAACTCTCTTCCTGCTTTTTGGTGACTTTGCCGGCTGATAACCCCGACGGCATTGCGCGATGCTTAACCCAATGTGCGATGATTTCGAAAACAGCCGGCGGTTTAGGTGTCAGTATTCATAACTTGAGGTCCAAAGGTACCGCATTTGGGACCACTGTGGCTGGTACCCCTAGAGTATCCAATGGTATAGTACCCGTTTTACGTACTTTTAACAACTCTGCACGTTATGTGGACCAAGGGGGGAACAAAAGACCGGGGGCTTGTGCTATTTACCTTGAACCTTGGCACGCCGATATCTTGGATTTCTTGAATTTGAAAAAGAATACAGGGAAGGAGGAGTTAAGGGCACGAGAACTGTTCTACGCTTTGTGGACCCCCGATTTGTTTATGAGGCGAGTGAAAAATGACGATAAATGGTCATTGATGTGTCCTTACCTGTCACCAGGTCTTGCCGATTGCTGGGGTGAAGAATTCGAAAAATTGTATGAAAAATACGAAAATGAGGGTCGGTTTGTCAAACAATTGCCGGCACGTGACGTATGGCGTGCCATTTGTGTGTCTCAAGTCGAAACTGGCACCCCTTACATGCTGTACAAAGATGCTTGCAACAGGAAAAGTAATCAGCAAAATTTGGGTACCATCAGGAGTAGTAATTTATGTACTGAAATTGTTGAGTATACTTCACCTGACGAGATTGCTGTCTGCAATTTGGCTTCAATTGCCGTCAATATGTTCGTAAAACCGGATAGAACTGGCTATGATTTTGAAAATTTGAAAAAAGTGACTAAAGTTGTTGCAAAAAATTTGAATAAAGTCATCGATTTGAATTACTATCCTTTGCCAGAGGCCCGCAGGTCGAATTTGCGTCACAGACCAGTGGGAATAGGTGTTCAAGGTTTAGCTGACGCATTTATTCTCCTGAGGATGCCTTTTGATAGCCAGGAAGCTAAAACTTTAAACCAACAAATTTTTGAGACGCTTTATTACGGCGCTTTGGAGGCTAGTTGTGAATTGGCCGAAAAGTGTGGTCCTTATGAGTCTTATGCGGGGTCACCGGTCAGCAAAGGGATTTTACAGTACGATATGTGGGGAGTCACTCCGACTAATTTGTGGGATTGGAGTGTTTTAAAGAAAAAAATTGCCAAGTATGGAGTCAGAAACTCCCTGCTTTTGGCACCTATGCCAACCGCTTCCACGGCCCAAATTTTAGGAAATAATGAATCTACTGAACCTTACACTTCAAATATTTATGTCCGGCGGGTTTTATCTGGAGAATTCCAAGTCGTCAATCAACACCTTTTGAAGGATTTAACTGACAGGGGTCTCTGGAATGATACAATGAAAAATCAAATAATCGCGAATTATGGCTCGATCCAAAACATCCCGGGAATCCCTGACGACCTTAAAAAAATCTACAAAACAGTCTGGGAAATTTCGCAAAAAGTTATTATTGATATGGCAGCTGATCGAGGCGCTTTTGTTGATCAGAGTCAATCAATGAATATCCATATTGCCTCACCCAATTACGGGGTCATGTCATCAATGCATTTCTACGGGTGGGAGAAAGGTCTCAAAACCGGGATGTACTATTTGAGAACGAAACCGGCCGCTAATCCCATTCAATTTACTGTCGACAAAACCAAATTAATCGCGACCAAAGATACCGGCATTAAAAAGGAGAGAAAAATTACACCAGAGGAAGAGGCGGCTCTTGTTTGTTCACTAAAAAATCCCGAAGCATGTGAAATGTGTAGTGCTTAAGTTTAAAATCTTTGTTATGTTCGTAATTGTAAGGTTTAACCACAGGTTTAACTAATTTATGTTAGTCGTTCTGTCTCGAATAAATATCTTTTTTTCTTTCTTTTCTTAGTTTTTCACTATCCCAAACTGTCGTATATACCCAGGGGCCTAATTGTAAGTAGTGTTTTATGTTTTTTATTATTAATAATTAGTATGTGTACAACAAAACGCTCTCACATTTGAATTTATTTAGTTTTTTTAGATAAGAATTGTTGGTAGTACCTATGGTGGCGCTAGAAATATTTTTAGGTTAGAAAGTGTGCTATAAAATTCGTTTTTTTGTTTCAAAGACTTTATTTAATTGTTAGTAGTTGTTTTGTGTTTTTCTTATTATTAATTAGTCTGTACTGGCAACAAAAAGCCCTGACACTTAAATTTATTTAGTTTTTATAGCTGAGAATTGTTGGCAATTGTTGATGGTGGCGCTAGTAATCCTAGTAACATTTTTAGGCGCGAAAGAATCTCCTCTTGTGTTGTGAGTGTTTTTTTTTTTGTTGCAAGGGCTTGATTTAATTGTAGAAGTGTTTTACGTTTTTTGTTATTAAGTCACAATGGCAAACGCAAAAAATTACGTCTTGAAAAGAGGTAAGTCATATCAAGCGACGTCGAAGTTGAGGTTATGGTAAAAAACCGTTCAATTTTGTTACAGACGGCCGAAAAGAAGAAGTACACCTCGATAAGATCACCTCACGAATTCAAAAATTATGTTACGGTTTAAATATGGATGTTGTAGACCCTGTAGGTTTTTTAATTACTCTTTTTACACTATCAACTAATTACAAATGTTTAGGTCTCGATTACATTGAAAGTAATTGGTGGCTTATATCCAGGAGTCACCACAGTTGAGCTGGACACTTTGGCTGCCGAAACAGCGATTGTCATGGGTATTGATCATCCTGATTATGCTACCCTCGCAGCAAGAATTGCAGTTTCCAATTTACAAAAACAGACCAATAAGCACTTCAGTGGTAAGTTTAAAAAATAACACGTCTACTTGGGGCTCATTTGTTGGACTTTCTTTCATTCTCTATTTTAAAGTAACCATTTGGGCGCAAAGCAAACGTAGAAGTAATTTTGCAATTAACAATTTTTTTTTCTCTGGTGCTATCACGTGATGATTTTTTGGCAGATGTAGTAAACGACCTTTACCACGCTATCGATACCCGTTCTGGACGAAAAACCCAATTAATCTCCGACGAACATTACGCAATAATCATGAAAAACGCCTCTCGTTTAAATTCATGCATTGTTTACGACCGAGATTTCTCCTATAATTATTTCGCATTCAAACTACTCGAACGTTCTTACTTGTTCAAAATAAATGGGAAGACAGTTGAGCGCCCCCAGCACATGTTAATGCGTGTAGCTGTCGGTATCCACGGCGAGGACATCGACTCGATTATAGAAACGTACAATTACATGTCTGAGGGATATTTCATTCATTCAAGTGCCACACTGTTATCAGCCGCCACACCTAACCCTTATCTGCCCTCGACCTACTCAATCGCGATGCCCGCTGACAGCCTTGAAGGGATTTACGATTGTATCACCAAATGTGTTATAACTTCAAACACCATTGGACGCATTTCAGTCAATATTCAAAATATTAGAGCCAAAGGAACGGAAATCGCCGGGACTAACGGCGTTTCGAATGGTTTGGTGCCTATGTTACGGGTTTTCAACAATGCCTCTTGGTTAATCCCCCAAAATGAGAATCAGCCCTCAAATCAGGGGATTTTTCTCGAACCGTGGCATGCCGACATCCTTGATTTCTTAAATTTGAAAAGGACAACCGGGAAAGAGGAATATCGGGCACGTGATTTACATTATGCTCTGTGGGTGCCAGATTTGTTCATGAAACGTGTGAAAAACGACGAGAAGTGGTCACTGATGTGTCCTCGCCAATCACAAGGTCTTCCCGATTGTTGGGGTGAAGAGTTTGAGAAATTGTACGAAAAGTACGAAAGTGAGGGGCGTTTTAATAAACAAATGCCGGCTCGGGATCTCTGGCGAGCGATTTGTGTGTCTCAAATGGAAACTGGCTCGCCTTATATTTTGTATAAAGACACTTGTAACAGGAAGAGTAACCAACAAAATGTTGGTACAATCAAAAGCAGCAGTTTGAGCACTGAAGTCATTCAATATAGCTCATCTGAGGAAACCGCGGTGTGTATTATGGCATCTATTGCACTAAACATGTTTGTGAACCCCGAACGAAACGGGTACGATTTTGAAAAATTGAAAAAAGTGACCAAAACACTAACCAGAAATCTCAACAAAGCGATTGATGTGAGTTCCTACCCAATCCCTGAAGCCCAAATTTCGAATTTGAAACATCGACCAATCGGAATTGGGGTGCAAGGCTTGGCTGATACTTTTATTCTCATGCGTATGCCGTTTGACAGTAAGGAGGCTCGGTTACTAAATGTACAAATCTTTGAAACTTTGTATTATGCCGCACTTGAAGCCAGTACGGAAATAGCAGAAAAAGATGGGCCTTATTCAACCTACGAAGGCTGTCCTTTGAGCAAAGGGATTTTGCAGTACGATATGTGGGGTGTCACGCCCACAAACATGTGGGATTGGACTGCCCTCAAGGAGAGAATTGCCAAACATGGGGTCAGGAATTCGTTACTTGTCGCTCTCATGCCCACTGTTTCCACCGCCCAAATTTTGGGTAATAACAGGTCCAGTGAACCTTATTTATCTAATATCTATGTGAGGCGAGTAAATTCGCGGGAATTTCGTGGTGTGAACAAACACCTCTTGCGGGATTTGACTGAGAGGGGCCTTTGGAACGATGACTTAAAAAAGGAGATCGCGGAGAAAAATGGATCAATTCAGGACATTCCCGGCATTCCGGATGACTTGAAAAATATTTATAAAACGGTCTGGGAGATTCCGCAAAAGGTCATTATTGAAATGGCCGCCGATCGAGGTGCTTTTATTGACCAAAGTCAAGCCATGAATATTCACATTGGGACACCAAATTACGGGATAATGTCTTCTATGCACTTCTATGGCTGGCAGAAAGGTTTGAAAACTGGGATGTTTAATTTGAGAATCAATCCAACAAGTGTTGTTCAAAACGGAAACAGAAGCAAAGTAAGTGTGCGTCAAGAAAACGGCGTCCAGGAGAAAAGCGATGGGATGAAGGGATCACCCGAGAAAGAGGATGCGGCTCTTCAATGTTCGCTACAAAATCCCGGCGCATGTGATATGTGCAGTGCCTAAATTCAGTGTTTTTCATAAGCTTTAAACTATTTCTTTTGTATTTCTGATCGTAAATAAACTAGTTCTTTACAATAGAGTTTGTTTATTTATCAACTTTAAACATGGGCCCATGTCCTGGCACGATAAAATCAGCCATTTCAAGTATTTTTTTCCTATTTTTCATTTGCAACTCTTCGCTGTCACTCCCAGCAGATTTCCAAATGCTGTCATCATGTAAATCCTCTTCCTTTTCAAACAAGTCACCAGTAATAGCAACGACACCGTTACAAGTTTTAACAATCACAGAGACATCCTGCATTGTGTGTCCTGGAGTAGGAATCACTGTTACCTTATCACTAATCACTTTTTCCTTCCCCGATTTAAAATCATGATTGAAATATATATCTTCTTGTGAAATGGAAAAACCCACAATGTGAACAGCCTTTGGAAACAAATAATTACAACCAATATGGTCAGAATGACCATGAGTACAAATCACAAAATCAATATCTTCACAGCTTAAATCATTTGCAATCAAAGCTTTTCTTAGTTTTTCACAATCCCAAGCTGTCATTGTGTCCACTATTACATGTGGAGGCCCTTTTATTAACGTACAAGAGCAATTAGCTAGCATGAAATTTTTTTCAGTTTTCGAGTAGCCATCAAACAGCACAATGACTTGAGGGGTCTCAGCACCTTCCATTTTATTAAAAATGCACTTTTTGTCATTAAATTCTTGCCTTTAATTCATCCCTTGGGAAAAAATCACAAAACTTTTTATTTTGAGGTTATGTAATTTAAAAAAAAGTGTTCATCGGGTATTCGCACTTTGTACATAATATAAGCAACCAACAATACAATATTAATTTTTTATCAATAAATCAATGATAAAACCAAACTAAAATTATTTATTTATCAAAATATTTGTTTAGAATTTAAAAGGAAAATAAAAAAATGTCTAACAATACAAATGTTTCCTAATTTGCAATGAAAAAAATTTAAAAAAACAATAATTACACTTTGTTTTATTCATTTATTGAAGACGAAATATCCTCTTCCTGTGTGTTGTAGTTCTTTCTTTAGACATGCCTCGTGCACATGAAGCCAGCAACCTCTTGCAGCAATTGGTCCGTAATGTTCATTCAGGGATTAAGAATAACGTCTTAATCACTTTTAAATTGATGTTCAAATATTTGTGAAAAATTACCAGTCTAGAGCGATAACAGAAACAAACAATTATTACTAGTACCTCGCCTTATGTTCACGAGGTAATTACGCTGGAGACCTCTGTCGTAAGGTAAATTGTCTCGTTAATTACACCCACGCGTAATTACATCTAACGTATTCCTTCGAATGCAACGAAAAGCTCATCAGCACAGTCAGAACCCATCTGGTGTGGTCAACGGATCGTCCCAAAGCGCTCCCTGCCGGAAAAACAAGGCAAAATCACACCTGTTCTACCTGTACAGGTGAGTGGGGGTTCACCGCGGTCACGTGACTAGATTCTTTACGTAAAAAACAAGTCAAACCGCGCCTACCGACCCTCTCGTTCGTTAAAAAACGCATCTCAAAAATTAAACGCTTTGTTCGTGGGTGTTTACTGAAGAAGTTTGAATTTTTTATTCGAAACGTCACAAGTTCAAGTGCCTTTGATCCGTACGAGAAATCAATCGATTATCCGCATTGGCAATGCGATTTCAACATAAGTACGTTAAAAGAAAGTGAGTTAAAGTTTATATCGGGTGTAAACAGTGATTCTAACGGTCAGAAAATTTTTGGAAATCGGTGCGTGATGCGTGTGCGTGAATTGTGGAACAATGTTTAATTTTTTGAGGACGTTGTTTTGGTGCTTTGGTTTTGCCATCTGTGTCAATGAAGTCGTTTTGCAAGAAACGGAAGGGTTTTTTGGGAGTACGGAAGGATCTAGGGGTGGTAGGACTGAACATCCTGGTGGTACGATAGTCAACGATAAGTTGGTTTTTTCGAAATTTAAAAGTCCCTACTGGTTAAGAAATGACATCATCGTTGAGAGAAACGCTGAATTAATTATTGAACCAGGAGTTACCATCAACGTTGAACCTCAGGTTGGAATTACCGTTCGAGGAGTTTTGACTGCTGTGGTGAGTATTTCTGGATATGATTTATACCTATTTTCTATCAATAGTTGTTATAACATTCTTAGCTAATACAAAAAAATTAATGGCAGTAATAAGCTTTCACGTTAGCGTAAGATTTAAATCATAAGTAGGTAACATGTTGAAATATGAATGAAAGCAAACAAAAGTTCTATTATTCAGATTTAGTCAGGTTTAAGCAACAAAGGGCTTATCAGAGCAGAATGATACATCAGTGATAAACGTAATTTAGTGATAAGGTAGCAATTAACCCACGTATCTGGTTTGCGAAATAGCCAAATATGAGATATGATTCACAAAAAATAAGCCCATGACCATGATCGCTTCAAAGTTTGTTTAACTTGTTCCAAAAAATTAGAAAATTGGTGGTACCATCAGTTCCATCGATATGAAGTTATTTATGAAATTTGAAAAATATTTTATTTGCACTTGTTTGTCACCTGTAGTATTGATTCGCGACAATTATGATGTTTACATTATGATAAAATACCACTCATTAATTTATTATTTTTTTGCTTGGTCTAAATACCTACACTAGGCTAGGATATCACGAACTTATTTCGAAATGTTGACAACGTGAGTTTCTGAGTTTGCAATTATTGTAGGTTTTGTCTTTTGACACAACTATTGAGATTTGCATTAAAAGTTAGAGATATAATTTTGTGATATTTTGCCCAGTTTTCTTAATTTAGAAATTTCAACTCCGGAAAAAGTAGAGAAGACCGGAAAAAATACATTTTTCACCTCAAATACTTTCGTTTCTATTATGGTTTCCACCTGATTTGAAACTAATTTGACCCTTCACCAAATTTGGAAAGTCACTGTGAAAATAACAGGACGAAAGAGTTTTCATAATATTTATTGATTCACAAGGGAGGAATATTCATCATTTCTACCGACATTGTTACTTGCGTCAAGGTTTGTGACCTACAAATCTGGGCTAAGCAAATAATGCGCGGAAAATCGGATTAATATAGTTTGAGGTTCATTAAACAAGGACATTTTCTCAAACCAAAAGCAATGTAATAATCAGCAGACCAAATAAATATTAAAAATTATGAAGGTTTAAACGCCATTGTATAGAAAAATTACATTACTTTTTTCTTCTAGACATTCCTTTTTACTTTTTAAATTTATGAGTATAATATTGAGACTATACATATACAAAATTAGAATATCTACCTGTTGGAATTTGGATGATTGAATGGTAGAAGAGGTTTTTAAAATATTTATTGCACATAAAAACCTAAAACTGCACATAAAACTGTTTTAAAGTGCTTATAATAATAACCTTTTAAACCCGAGTTTAAACCGCTGTTGGAGTTTCACCTTTGTAGTCAGAAAAACAACTAATTAATAGGAAAATTGTTTTTTTCAACAAGTAATAATAATAATAATAATAATAATAATAAATGCCTTTATTAATTAAATAGTAATGCCGTGTTACAAAATTATTTTCTTGTATTTCTTGATTTCTTGAATTGTATTAAACGTAAAATGAAATCTTAATTTATAAAAGTTTATTAGTTAGAAATGTTTTTAAATGATACGGATGTCTACTTGTATGTCAGTAATAAACTAAAGTAATTTGTTGCATTTCCACTTCATTAATAGATAAGAACAAGAACAAAGGATTCTCTCTATAGTTACATAAATACATGCTGACGATCTTAATAAAAAATCTATTAATTTTATTCAAACATTACATCTCTATGCTGTTTTTTGCTTATTTTTTTACTGATTTTGCTCTCCCTGTGGATAAAAATTGTCACGACAGTGTAACTAAATAAAAATTATGCAAACATAAAATTTTACTATACTACTAGTTCTATAAAATGTACAACAGGTTAGGTAACAAAGATGCTCTTTATCAACAACATTCACTAAACCAACGTTGATGAGTCATTTATTTTATAAATGATTGACTCATTCCCCACGTCCCAGAAAACCGTTCCATTTCCAATAATTTTAGTAACAATCACAACCCATTAGTAAAAAATTTCATTCGTCAACATAAAATGAATCATTTTAAACAAAATGAGGAAAAGTATACTGCCACAGGCATGTTAGGAATTTGTCATCAGCATCTGATTTAATCAACCGAATAAAATTTAATGGGAAATAGATGTGAGGATGCATCATTGTAGACGGAATTTCCTTTTTCCGGTAGAGGATAAAAGCCTTGTTTACGTGGGCAGGTTATAATCATTAACAGAGAGACACTTTTATGGCTGAAACCTCACAAATGACCTCGTCTTTTACCTGAAGTCTAGTCTAGGGAATTTCGTTGAAAAAAGTGCGACATATCTAATTTGAGTAATTAATTACAGGACGATACATTATCAGGTGTGAAACACATGTTAAGTGATAAGAAAATGTAAATACCGTACGCATTGTTCGTAACTCATGGTTTTGTATGTTTTTAGAGCACCGGTGGTAAATGTTTCTATAGGATTTTTCAAATACCATAATCAATATTTAGGTAGCACTTGATTTGTGTTTATTTAATGATAGTAGATTTTAGAGAAAGTTTTTTATAACGTTTTACGTCAAATAGTTAATCGTATGAATCACTGATTTTGTTCTTGATACGCCTACAGAAAATTAAATAATTTTTGAACAATAGACCAGAAGAGGAGTAATTAAAGGATCCTTTCCGAGTCTCATAAGAGTAAATAAAACAATTTCGCGGTACGACTGTGCGTTTAACTATATCTCACCTAATTTAATCTAAGAGTTAATTTTTTTAATTCCGTGACCCGAACCTCAGAACTCAATAGATGCAATTAAAATTAACACTATTAAGTTTATTGCTAATTTCCGCTTGGGTTATTTAATGTATGGTCCGTGCCCACGAATAACATTCTTCGGTTGTTAATTCTCTAATTTATGGATTAACTAAGCCATATTTTTTTGTCAGTTATTGCAATAATGAGCTAACCATTATTTACTTGTAAAAGTGACCCAAAACGTGCGAAAAATGCTAATTAATTAATTTGTTCGCGAGAGGATGAAAGATAATTAAAACAATAAAAGAATTTCTTCCTGTATCATGGCGTCCACCCACGTGAAGTCAATAAGTTGATTAACCTTTTTAAAAGGTGGATGGAAATTATAATATCAAGCCACACCGTTTATTATATTGATCATACAATTGAATGCATCTCGAGCCATCGTCTCTCATCAATATTCTTTAAACGTTGAATGTAGCAATGTCCCACGTTCAGACACGAAGAATGACAAGCTAAAACTCTGTTACTGCTAAACTCGTCAGCGAACAGTTACGGCGATGTTATCGCGATTCGTTCTTCTTGTACTACTTTTCTTGGTAGTTTTTAAGCAAAGGAAGGTGAACGTGAAGACTTTGTTTGCTCGCAGGAGCTTGAAGAGATTGGATAAGAGACTGCACGATGTGCCATTGACCTGAGTGTATACCGTAGCATTTAATATGCATCGCTAACATCATTCCAAGATTCAAGACATATTTTGCTGCTTTGTTCCATCAAAGATCTAATAAACAGAGCCCGACGATTTTTCAACCGTTGTTTCCGGATTAACTAAGCGTGGAAAATAATCAGTTATTCGGCAAAGACACAAGAAAGTTCTTCACTTAGCTAAAGACTTTTTTCACCGCACCTTCGCAACGAGTTATGACTCAAAAGCTGATTTTAACCTTGTGTGTGTACACTCGTTAATAATAATATGAGTGCAAAGGCGCCGAGTGTACATTCTTGCAAAATAACATCCTTCAATTGCTAAGGTCGAAGTTGCTTAGACACAAGACTGGTTGATCCTTTTCTGTTCTAAGAATAAAACGTTTGAACAAAACCTTGTGTTTCAAAGTTAAACCAATGTTTAATGATCTGTTAACATTAAAAAAGAAAGAAAAAAAAAGATGAGAAACAATAAATACTGTAATAAAAATCGCTTTCAAAAGACAACTAAGTTTTGTAGGAACTGCCAACTAAAATGGTGAAACTGAAAACTAAAGTAGCATTACGGATATGGAATGTAGATCTTGAAAATGGTCATATTGCAGAAAAGTAGGTTGAATTTAATATTCCAAGTTTTCATAAAATAGAGATATTACCTTTAATAACACTAGGCGACATTTTTTCATTTTTTTTTCTAACATTGATAAGATTACTGGTATACTATGTAATTTTGTTCAGAAAATCTAAAAATGATCACCAAAATTCTCCATCACGTAAGGTTTTTTTGTTATTTTTGTTTTCATATTTAAAGAAGTAAGTTGAAGTAATCACTCATATTCATGATATAGAGTGTGTCCTCGGATTGGGTTTACAAGAGGAAAATTTTTTCTCTTTCATTTTACGCCAAAACTGCAAAGGCGAAACATTTTTTGCTTCACCTGAAACGAGCAAATCTGTAATTAAAACTTCATTATTCTGATTCAGTGAAAAGAAAAGTTAATTTTTCTCTTGATTTTGGCGGTTTTATTTATTTGACAACTATTCTGAGTGCGCCAGAACTCGCGCCTCAGAGAAAAATGCCTTATTAATATTTTATTTTAATTATACATTTTCAAACTCATTTATTTGAAACTACCATTTTTACTACTTTTATTTTATTTTATTTTTTATTTTATACTATTTTCCTTCTCAGATTTGGTAGATGTTGCAAAATAAAAACGAAATTCGTCAAAAAGCAAAAAACGCAACAGTTTTAAAATTATCTAACAATAGTGTGTATTAAGTTAGCAACATTATGCAATATACAGGGTACGCCAAAACTCACGCCCCAGGGAAAAATAAGGTAAGGTACCAGGCACATGTAAAAAATGTTAATTTTTTTTATCAGAAGTTATGAGGGTTTAAAGTTTGCATTTTGACTCTATTTCTGTTGGAAAAATAATTTTCCAAGTTTTTTTTTGCTATAGGCTATTAAAAGAGGAAACAAGAAAGCTGTACCTTAAATTGTAACTCTGTTCAATGTTATTTGTGGCTTTTATTGGCAAAATTTTTGTCCCTTTACTAAATAATTGTATAAAACATATACAAAATCATCACTATCATTAAATAGATATAAAAAATGTCAAATGTCAAGAAATAAATGTCAAAATTTTTTGACAGAGAATTTTTTAAACATTTTTTCCATGTTCTTGGTATCTTATCTTGCTTGAAATTTTTCTCAGGAGCGCGAGTTCTGGCGCATCCTGTAGAATAACTTTTATTTCTACTCGTATTATTGCCAAAAAATCTGTGGACTATACTCTTAAAAGAATTTCAAACAGTTACATAATTATTTAATTTTTGCACACTTTTTAATTTTCACATCACTTACTTTATAGGGCATAGAGGTTTCATTTTCTTACTTACTTAAACGGAAAATAAATTGATTTGCGATTACAAGTAAGTAGCAAAGGATGAAATTTAAATTTATTTAAACTAAATAATTAAATTAAATTAAAAATGTGACGTGTTGGAGGTTTTTTATTTATAGCATTATAAGTGAAATGGCGTGTTTTGGTACAGTTGGTTGCAATAAAAACGGAAAATTGAATTTTCTTTAGAGTGAAACAGGTTTTGCCCTTGTCAATTTAGTTGTCGATTTGTCATCTGTCGCATTGAAGTAATTTTTTCTGCAATGCTTCACTTAAATGCCGAGAGCATCAAACGCAAATCAAGATAATCATTTTATCCATGTTCAAACTATGGATAAATATAAAAATCTGACATTTTTATGGTTTAACACGTTCCAATTTTTTTGCAACCAAGTGTACCAAAAATTATACTTGTTAGGAAAATCATGTCGCCTAGTTCGCCTAATCTGTTTTGAAAATGTATCTACTTCCTAAAAGAATTTACACAAAACATTTAATTTTTTTTTTTCGATTAGACTCTATTCGATTGTTTACTATGTTTGTTTTCAAGACAGTAAGTTTTATTTACTCGTTACTATACCAAACTCGTCGGTAAGGATTTTTGTTTATTGTTGCTAAGTCGGTAAGCATTCATAAATGTTCTATTCTAGAACGCCAAAACTAGAACATTTTAAAGATATTTTATTAAAAAACTAACGTTAAGGACTTACCGATCTCAGACAATAATTGGAGTCGTCGCTTCGCTCTTCCTCCAAACAATTGTCTTCCATCGATAATGGAATGTCCTTACCGTTCTTGATGCTTAATATACTATTTTTTTCTATTCAATTCTCTATAATTAAAAAAAAATGTGTGATCGTTATTGCTTGGTATCCGTTCCGACGGCTTTTGTGTTACAATCGCTTAAAATTTATTCCAGGGTACCGAAAATGAGCGAATCGTTATAACGACCGCAGAGGAAACCTCTGCGAAGAATATTAATTTCCCCGACATCCGGCTCTCTGACGGTCCAACGATTTTGGCAGGCCGAGTCCAAGTGCGTCACAATGGCCGTTGGCGTAGCGTTTGCACCAATTCCAAGAAGTAAGTAACTTTTTTCCACCAAAAAACCGTGATATTAATTTCCAAGAACAGTTGGACGCGTGCCGATATGGAAACGGCTTGCAGACAACTCGGTTTCCAGGGCGGATCGTTTTTTAATTGGTTCGATAGACAAATGCCTCTAAAACCGCGACTTCTTTACGAAGAACCCAAATGCACAGGAACGGAAAGCTCTCTATTCGATTGTGACTGGAATTCGAGACAAATGGGGGCCGGAGTGTGCGATTATCACCCGGATTTGGCTATCCAATGTAGTCCACGACACGATAAAACTCTTCCTTTCTGGAGAGGCATCCGATTTGAGGATGCCAAGTATAAGAAAGTTTTGACACAATCAAACACTCTGTATATTCCTCTCTCGTTATCGAAGCTGCAATACGTCCAAATTTTATACGCGGGGGCTGGGCGTAATCAAAATGCGTCAAGTGCTGTTGAAGTTGAAGGGACTCCTCCGGTTATGGACAATTTAGAAATTATTAACTCGGCCTACAATGGGATTAATATAACCCGTCCTGAGGGGCCTTTTAGTGTCAATAATTGCACGTTGAGAAGTAACCGCGGTTATGGCATCTTCGTCAACTCCAGTCAGATGTTAACCCACATCGATGGGTGCACAATCAACGAAAATGGCGGCGATGGGGTGAGATACGTCCATGGGGAAGAACGGCCCGACGAGAGGATCGACCGATACGGTTTCGACGATTTCTGTAACCTCGCAATTGTCTCAAGTCAAACCTTCCCGTTGCAACTTTTCGCCGAACAAACAATTTTTCACAACCAAATTAAATCCTGCGACAAAGTCTTTTCAACTCGTTACAGCAACCTCATTACCTTATCAGTTATTAGAGCTGTCACTAACGTGAATAATAGTGCGTCTTTCGAAGTCTACGATGGCTCCACTTTGAATCACCGGTTACTTACTTCATTCCCGATAAGAAACAACACAAGGCCTCAGTCTATCACAAGTACAGGGCGACACCTCTTTGTCAAATTTCGAGCAGCTGCGAGTACCGAAACTGTTGTTTTCATGAGAGTTTTCTCAAGTCATAGCAAAAGTTACGATTTGAATGTTAGCAATTCGGATGTTTCGGAAAATATGGGGCGAGGGATTGCCGTTGATAATTTACGGTCACAAGTCCACGTTTACAAGTCTTCGGTTTCGAAAAATCAACATGTAGCAGGACTGCATGTTACAAGTGGTGTTGGAGATGTTAATGTTACCGAAAGTCGGATTTCGTTCAATGAGGGTGATGGGATTAATATTACTTACACTGGGGGTAGCAGAAACATATCCAGGTCATCCATAAGTTCAAACTCCAGGTATGGTCTAGCGGTCTGGCTCAATGATACAAAAGAAACTGAATTTATCACAGTGAACCAAACCACAGTTGTGCAATATTCAGAGATTTACAAAAATCTTGACACGGGGATTTTACACGGGAATTTCTGTGGCGAATCCCTGTTTAATTTCACTGGGAATCACTTCAGGAACTGTGCCAATGACGCACTTGAAGTACTGACGTGTTGGAAGAATAGTAACACCTCGACGAGGCTTCAAATCGGTCATAATGAATTTATCGGGAATAACAGGATCGGTTTGAGGATCACACCAGCCTTAAACCTTGAGGCCAAAATCGAGTACAATCACTTCAGACAAGGCTTATTCGGTGCTCTCTTAATCAAAAACAAGCCTTTAGAAGAATTCAACATTTTGAAAACAAATATCGAAGTGTTCCAGAATTATTTCATCAACAACACTGGCTTTTTTGTGGCCAATTTGGCTTTATCCCCATATTCCGAAAACCAAAACTTGTTGTTTATCCGCAATTTCGTGAAAAATAACCGGATTTCGGAACCGTTCCAGCCTGAGGATGGATCAGTTTCAAGTTTGAATCCTCGGAGTCGGGTTGCAGCCCCCATTGTTGTGGGTTCTGACAATATTGATATTTTCCGAAACATCATCGAAAATCCACACTCAAAATACGAAATTGGTAGCCACCTTGAAGACCAAAGCAAGTCACTTAATTGCACCTTTAATTGGCTCGGATTTGGACACGATGAAGAGATTTTACCGCGACTTTTTCACCGTCTTGACAGATACAATTTAGCTAAAATCGAATTTACTCCCTTTCTTTTGCACAATACTAACCCTTTAACCAACCGAATCAACCAATACCAGTACTATATTCCGAAATTTGTGACTCCTAATTCAGTCGGTGGTGAGGTTGAGGGTGAGGAAACTCTGACTCCGGGTGAATACGTTGTAGAGAAAGACATAAATATTCGGCCGGGGGGTAAGCTAACAATCGAACCAGGAGTTACACTCCGGTTTCCTCCTTCAGTCGGAATGATGGTTGGAGGGAAATTAGAAGCAAGAGGGATCAGACCTGACAGCATTAAATTCACCCTCAAAGAGGAAATTTCGCATTCTCCCGATAACGAAACTTACGAAATTGAAACGGAAAAATACGAAGTTGAGACTGAAGTCGTACAAGTCGAGCCCAGGGTCCCCATCCGACTTCTTGGAGGAGCCACAGAAACTGAAGGTCGCCTCCAGATCAAAATCGACAATGAGTGGGGCACTGTTTGCAACTACGGGTGGACTATGAAAAACGCTGCTTTAGTGTGCCAACAATTGGGTTATGTTTTAAACCCAGAAGACTGGTTTTTGAAACCTAGCGAAACACCATCAGCTGGCATGAGTGAAGACGTAATTTTATCAAACGTCCAGTGTGACGATTTTGATTTGGACATAACGAAATGTAAGGCTGAAACAAAGGGAAATTTCGAAAATTCGTGCACTCATGAGAACGATGTGGGGATTAGATGTTACAAATCCTCTTGGGCGGGGGTCAGATTTGGAGCTTTGGCCGAAAGAAGCAACATCCAGTACATCACAATAGAGATGGCCGGACTTTTAGATTATGCCACTAGGACGTTCAAGCCGGCCCTCCAGATCGATTTTGCAAGACAAAACTTTGAAAATATCCGAGTTTCCAACAATTTCTACCACGGCATGGGGGTTCTTTATACCGATATATACACCGATGATACCATCAACATTATCAAGAATTCGGAATTTTTGAACAACAAAGGGGCCGGAATTAGTTTTAAACAATTGGGTTTCAACATATTTGGGAGTCTAATTGAGAATAATTATTTCGGTATTAAGCATAATCCTGTTCTGACCGGGTTGCAACAACGAGAATTTGCTGGTTGGTTTTTAACAAGTGATGATAACGTTCGGTATAAACCTTTGATGATCCCTGAAATGTTAGATGTGAATACTATTCAAGTCGATCGGGGGGAAACTAAATACCTGGTCACGTCTAAAGTAATTGGTGAGAGTATTTCGAGGGTTTACCGGTTTAGAAGTGACCCAGGGTGGGTTATTGGAATCCAACTGTTGAACCCCATAGAGAATCGTAGTACCGAAAGTGTAGTCATTCAAGACGCACTCTCTTACAACAAAAACGCTATTTATTGGGTGCTTAAACGCGACCTTACCGTATTTCCCACAACTTCAAGTAGTTACGGAATTATTTTGGAGTACAATAGTAGAAGCTATGCGATCGGTGGTACTGTTCTGGTCATCAGTACGATCAGAGCCCCAGTTCAAAATATCCGCAACCGGATTATCAAAGGCCCAATCCCGACTTTAAGACTGACAAACTCGAAAATCAGGAGTAACCAATTTGGAATCCACGCTTCTTACTACAATAGATACTTGAACGAACTGGGAGACCACTTTTTGAGGAAAGCCAATGAAAGTTTCCAATTAGTGAATTGTGAGATTTCTCATAACCAGAATGAAGCCATTTTTGTCCATTCACCACACTGGGACTTGCATAAAAGTAACATTTCCGAGGTTATTATAATGATAAATAACTCGTTGATTACGGACAATGGGAAAGGTTTTTATCACTTCTCGCGCGATATGCGGTCTTCAAACAACATTTTCCATTATATTTTGCAAGACGATACCATCGAAAGAAACCGAGCTGGAGGATTCGATATCAACCTACCATATGTTTGGCAGTACAATGAAAATTTCACTCATTCTGTGTACATGGACAACAACACTTGGATGCACAATAGAAATTTTAAATTTAACATTGACGGCCATTTCGCTGTCGTCAATATAACCCGGAATGTGTTTAGTGATAATAATTGCGCCAGTGGCTTGATCACTATCGGCGGGATGGAGAAGAAATTGCTGATAAGTCGCAATAAATTCAATACGAACAATGGCAAATTCATTGTTGAATTTGTTTCAAACAGCCAATCGGAAATAATCGGGGAAGTGCCGGCCCGATTTACCTTCAATGAACTAAGACACAATAAATTCGCCTTTTCGGGGCGGAGTTTCGGCATTTTGCAATTGAAGAAAGACCCGACTTCTGTCGTCGCTTTCAAGGGGATTCAAAAAGTGAAAATTTTTAGGAATCTGTTTTCGGAGAATCACCTCGATTATCAGCTAATTGCGGGGATCAAAACTGCCAAAATCGATAATTACGTGGACGTGCGTGAGAACTGGTGGGGCACGAATGACGAGCTTGCAATCAAAGAGAAAATTTTTGACTTTGACGACTGGAACAACTATGCTATTGCCAAGTTTAAGCCCTATTTAGTCAACGATGATTTTGGTTCGTCTTATTCTGCTGGTTACATTAGTGACACATCCCCCAATTTGAACCGGCTTGGGGGGAGAATAACCCGAGACTTGATTTTACACAATGAGAGAAATATGCCGTATATTGTCCAGTCTGATATTACAGTGATGCCGAAAGCGACCCTCACTATAGACCCCGGAGTGGTTTTGGAATTTGCCCCAAATGTGGGTATTCTAGTTTTGGGGAGTTTGCAAGCCCGTGGTTACGAAGGGAATGAGATTATCATGCGACCTATTTCAAAAACGGGCCATTTGGAATCAACTGATAGTCCAATAGTTCGCGAGAAACGTCAAATCGAGAATCTCATCGGGGGCGAAAGCATCCGTTTGTGCAAAGGCCGAAGCTGTTACGAGGGTGAAGAAAGCACACCGAGGGAAGGTTTCCTTGAATATTTCAATAAAACTACTCTTCAGTGGATCCCGATGTGCGATACGAGATTCACCGAAAGGAATGCTCAAGTCGTGTGTCGCGAGTTGGGTTTCGACCCATTGAACGTGTTTTTCGACCATGATATCAGAGTCGAGTTTCACAGTAATTCATTGTCGCGCATTTGGACATGGCCGGAGCCTCTCCAATGCAAAGGAACGGAGAAAAAGTACGAGGATTGTCCTATAAGATTGAATGGGCAACAATTCGGGCATCGTCACAGATGCAAGTGGAATTCGAAATTTGTTTTCATACATTGCGGCCAGAGGAATTTGGAGCCGAGATATGAATATTGGGGCGGGATTAGGTTTGCTAATCCTGAATTCGAACAGCAGTTGTACGCTCATAGAATTCATGATGTGAAAACACACTCGACGATGCAGAGTCAAGAGTCTGTAATGGAGTATGTTAATATAATAGGAGCTGGGATATTGCATAATGAAAAGTCGCCAGCGATTCAGAGCATTATTAAAAGTCCCAAAATAAATTTCGTCCGGGTTCAGAAGAGTGCTTCGCATGGAATTAACTTGATTTCGCCGTCGAATACAATGAATTTGTTGTATAATACAGTTGAGGATTCTTTAGGAGTGGGAATAAATACGTTATCGTTGACTGGAGAAGGACGCGAATCGCAAGAATCGAGTTTTACGCCTTTGAAAAGTCTGAATATTCCTTACAATTTGTTCAGTTTGGTCGATATGTGTGACACACATAAGGAAATTGAAATTCAGGAGAGAATCCTTCTCTACTTCAAATATGACAATCATCCAGTCAACTGTATCAAAATTTTCAAGAGTGCCTACAATATCAAACCTCTCGGATTCAGATTATTACAATTCAACTTGTTTAACTCGACTCAAAAGTACGGAATCCCCGATTTTATCTCATTGTACGACGGAGACATCTTCAACGTCACTTCGAAACTCATTGAACGAATTACGATGAGTTCCCATAATGAAAAAAGACTGGTCAGGACTAAATTGCCAAGTCTGAGTATAAAACTTTTCGCGAATGGAGCCTCATCCAATCACGGCTTTATCGCCGAAGTTGTCACTCTTCCAATATCAGCAATCGGTTTCAGTAAGTCTCAATAACAACCGTTGAATAAAATTTTATTTTTTATTACTTTTCCAGATCGAGACGTGCAACACAACATATCTTATTCCGTTGTAAATAACAATCGAGAAGGAGCAATGCTGTACATGTCAGCCGGCGAAGTCAACCCTATTGTGACTATTGACAAGAACCAGTTTAGATACAATTGCGAGAAGCTCTACGGCAATTTCACGACTTGCAATGCAGCCGTCGAGATCGATATCCAAAACACTCAAACAATTTTCTTCAGAGTAAGCGAAATGCACGCCAGTTTGGGGAAAAATCAATAACTAACTTGCATTCCAGAACAATTTGGTTGAAGGCAATCAAGGCGGTTTATCAATCAAGGCGGATTCGCGTGGTTCAGCGACGTCTCTCAAAGGATACATCCACAATAATTTATTTGTAAATAATAGCAATTTGCCGGTTTTGTACGTGGAGGGACGACAGTCTTCACCGTATCAAGAAGTCATCATTTACCGGAATTACTTCACGAGAAACAAAGCCCAATATTACAATAATATCGTTTTAAAACAAGTCGTTTCCAACTTCACTCTAAATTACATGAAGAGAAATATTGGCTTGCAAAACTTGGAAGTGTCAGGGTTTGATAAAGTGAGACTTCCGATTTACCAAACGACGTCTCATAACGGGTTTTATCAGTGAGTATTGAGCGAATTTATTTAAAATTTTAAATAATTTTGTCACTTTTTAGTAATTATGCTATTCATCGTGATAGCAGATCGACTATTGTCGCAGGAACTGCAGGTCAACATTACGTGGATAATATCTTCTTTAACCCAGATAATGATTATGAAATGATAACAGTAAACAGATCTCTGTAAGTAGAATTTATGTACCTTTGTTTATTAGAGAACGAAGTAAAGGTCAAATTATGGGAAATTTATTGTAGTCTAGCTAGGCCTTTTCCTGCTCACGTTCATTAATGTCAGAAAAAAGACATTTGGGGTGTGAGTATGGAAAAATCATAAACACGTAACGAAACGCACCATCGCTTTATAGTTATTATTAAAACAGTAGAAATGCTGAAGTAGAATAAACAATAATGAATTTAGGGAACAAATACATCAAAACATGTTTTTGAATATATTTTAAGCGTGATCTAAATTTATAATAATTTAATTGGTAGAAAAATTGAGATTTTTTTTAAGTTAATTACTTAGTTTAGCATATGTACCAATAAAAAGTTTTACTTATCAGAAAAAGATTCTTGTCACACTCTTAAAACAGTGTGGCTCGATAATAATTATAATATATTTATGTTTAGCTCTGATTTAAAGAAATAAAATAAGATTGTCTTAACTCCACAATTTTGGGAAATTTGGGTCGTAGTTAAAACCAAAGAAAAAGTCACGAGTTAATTGTTTTCGATTTTCTCCAAATATTTACTCATGTTTTGCTTACCTTTTTTCCTTATTTAATTCTTCAATAAACATGTTTTTATGAAATTTTGATAGTTTGAGGCACAATTTGTTTTGTTTCGTCTTTGGGCTTAAACTATAGGAAAAACCTGGCGAAAAACGAAAACAACAAAAATCTTTTATTTTTGACAATTGTCTAAAATTCGGTGGTGCTTTTCTGTAGCTTAGAAAATGTAACTAACATTTTTTTGAAAAATAATTATTATATTCGAAGCACATAAAAATATGGCTTTTTATATAAAACTCAGTTTTATTTAGACAAAAATAGTTTTTATAGTTTAGTACCTGTATTATGATTTAAGGGCGTAAACTAACATATTTTTTATTGTTTTATGTTGCATGGTGCATGCAGATTTGAATTCAACAGGTAAGAAATATCGTAGTTGAATGTTGTAGTTGTAGTGTGCAAAAATATGCAAATCGGTCTTTTAAAAGGCCATCAAAATTTTTTTCGCACGCTTGTAATTTGTGTTTGCAGCAATAAGATCAATTTTTCGTAATTGCATGCTTTTTGTCGCATTCCTTGTTATGCTTTATGTAATACAGTTTTTGTGTTTAGCACTTTACAACTGTGGAACACAAAAATCGACGCCGCTTATAACTACTGGGGCCTTAACAACTCTCTGGGTGTCCGAGGTCGCATCAAGGACCAAAGTGACGATCCTCGACTCCTTGAAGTCATCTACGAGCCGTATCACATGAACAATAAATCAGTTTTGCTCAATAAAAAATGCCCCCCGGGATGGGATCTAGTCGGAGGGACTTGCTATATCTATATTGGTGCTCCAATGACTTTTTACGAAGCTCGAGCCTTCTGTCAGGTATTAATAATGAATGAAGAGCACAACACGATACTAAATTGTTCAATTGTAGGCCGATAACGCAACAATGCCGTATTTGTTAGGGAATTTGAATTATATCGATTTGTATGAATTTTTAAGATCACAACAACAGTGGTTTTTGTATAACGATAGGGTTTGGGTGCAGCATATTGACAAAATCAACGAGTGCACCATGTTTGCGTATCAGAGAGTTGAAGTTGATAACTGTGATCAAAGGAATCCTTTTATTTGTGAAATAGGTATTTGCAGTTTTCAAGGTGTTGCAATTTTGTGATTGTGATTTTTACAGATCCCAAAGTTTCGATAAATATCCTGCCGTTGACTGACGATGTTGTCACAATAGCCGTCCTCTCGAGTCTTGCTTTGGCCTTACTTTTGATGGCCATTGTTGGTGTTTTCTGGTGGAGTAAATCGAAATATCGGCAAACTCAAAGGCTGGAAAGGCGGAACAGTATAAGACAGAGTTTGCATTCTTTGAGATCCGTAGGGTTGGCACCTGGAAGTTTCTCGGATGCTAGTTATAGGCGAAAAGTTGCTCAACTTGTAATTAATCAAAGAAATAATTAAAACGAATTTGTAACAATTTATTTTTGCAGAGTTCACGTTCAACTGACACTTTAACGAAAAACCCCGAATATAAGAAAATGATCACGAATGGATCACTCGACAGTATGGAAAAATCCACCTATACCTCATCCCTCGACGATAACCAATCGTATGACGTATATGAGGCTCATAATCCTAACCCTTCCGCTTTTGCTTATAGCCCCACGATCGAATATCACAAATCACCAAACCGGTTTGATGCCCAATACGTCAGACCGAACGGTTTCGAACTAGCCTACAAAAATGAGGGTTTTCGAGACAATTCAACTTTTGCAACCAACTCAAACTACCAATCACGTGCCGAGAGCATCCAAGACAGTACAAACGATGATATCCCAATTATACAAGACAACGCGGGGGGAAACAGTGTTTCCTACCCGCCGAGTGAATACTACACTAATGATACCCTACCCTTGAGTCATACTTCGGGAAAGTCGGACTCAACTCTTGATTTGAAAAAGGGAATTGATGATTATAACAAAAACCGGAGTTATGACCCAATATACAGTCGGGAGAGGCCTAATGCGAATTTGTTGAACGAATTGAAAAGTAAATTCCCTCACACGCCACCTCCTCCACCCGATCCGGTCCCTACAGAAGTCCAGTCGCCTACATATTCCGAAAAACTTGACAGTCTGCAGTATTCACCCGATTACAATACTGTTGGGCTAGCTGGGCCCCCCGATGACCGGCCATATTCTGCGAATATACTAGAAACTGACTTTGATGAGCCTCACCCAAGGCCGAAAGTGCGGGCCAAAAGTGAAGTGTTATTAGAGACTAATTTTGACTATACTCCGCCTAGTGGTAGTCCCCAGTTGAACCATCCAATCACCGAATATAATAGAAGTAAAAGTCAACCGTTAGAAACAGCAATGTAATTGTGATAAAAGTGTTTGAACTGATTTTAAATTGTGCTCTAATCATGTAAGTGATTATATTGTGATACTAGGAACAGAAAATATCATCTGTTAAGAATATCGATCATGTGTTCGTTTTAGCTTAAGACGTCCTGAAGTAATTGTAATTTATTGTTTTTGTACTTTAAATTTTAATGGTTTTATAAAAATGACTGCATTTAGACTAATTTAGGAACAAATCTATTGTTACGACTATTACATAAGTGCAATTAAAATATCGTAGTTATTTTGATAACAAATTGCTTTTTACGGATGTTAGTTACAAGTAAGAAGTTTTATAGCAAATAAGATCTCATGTTTGTAAATATATACATGTATCATTGCGAAATAAACCAACTCATAGTCATTATGAGATAATTAAAACTTTTGTTTTCATTTAAACCTAAATTAAAAATTCATTAAAGTAATGAAAAAATGAACTCCTTAGATGTTACCGAGAGGAGAAACGTGGCCATAAGGAGAGGTTTTACTGTAGAATCATCACTTTTCTAATCCCAGGAGCTCGAGCTGACATAAAAGTAATTACAAAACAGACTTCAGCTAATGTGCAATAAAGATAATTAAACTTTTGCATTTGGACGATTTCATGTTGACATTTTTGAAAGTTTGTTCATTTCATTTCCATAAGTTTAAAATTAGCCCTGAAAATAATTATTAAATTGGTGTTTTGCAAATGTGGAAATAATTTTTCTTTGGTTAATTGCTTCGTCTCAATCCGTGGCATGGCAAACGGTTGTAATTCATACTTTTGCGTAATTATACCACTATGTAGCAAAGTTCACGGCAAAAATTTACTTTTTTAAAGCAATATATTTCCCCTGATTTGTATCCATGTCACGACATTTTTTACAAACTTGTTCAAGTATTTTTTCTTATTAAACTTCACGCAAAAGGAATATAAAAATATTTTGCACGGTTACATTTTAATTCTTTGTATTCACGCCACTTGCGTAACTAATTTTATCTTCAGGTTTTATTATGTAAGGAAGCGTTTTCATTTTTTTGGTAGGCTCATTCGTGATAAACTTTTTATGTTTATAATAATAAAAACGAACAACATCGATAAATCTTATTGAAAAAAATATTCCCAAGATCAGTTTAATCGAAATCGCGATAGCCTTTGAAAGGTGAAATTACACAATTTTCAGCAAAGGGCATTTCCAATTCTTAACATAAATTAATGTATTAATATCTTCAACCAACCCTTGGACCCGCTCCAAGATTGTAAATGTTTTATAACTTAGGTGAAATAACAAAAATATTTACCAATCTGAAGCTCGTGATCAGCCTAGTGCAAAAAATTTGCGGTTTCCAAAAGCATACCTAGCTAATGAATATGACCTCGAAATTTTATCATTTTGACTTGAAAATAATCCGAGTAATATTTATAATATAATTTATATAAATAATTAAATTCAGCAAAAATTGAAGCAAACACACTCTTATCTAAATATGACTTATTGAAAAGGAGTCACAAGACTTGTTTTCGTGTGTTATACAATTTTATCTCAGGATTCGTTTAAGCTTTTTAACACTTTCCCTATTGGTTCCAATTTTTACAAACTGGCCAAGTTTGGATCAAGCCACGATTTGTATCAGTCAACCACAAAATTATTTTGATCATATAGTACATTTACTAATATGGGCAAAATAAGGTCTGTATTATACCAGGTGAATAAAAAGTATGGAATTAAACGTTTTTGCTTAAACTATTTTTTTTTTTTTTGTAAAAACAAATTGATGAATGATAAAGTACTATAAATATCTGATGTTTTATCAAGAATAAAATTTTTCGAATTTTTTTTTGTTTCTACATAATTTTTAATTTTTTTAAATGGCAACCCACTATAAAATCATTTTTCTCATGAAGGTTATGATCTAAGGATTACAGCTATCTACTTTAAATTTAATTTTTTCAAATTTTTTTTTTACATAAATTGCCATTTTAATTATTATTTTCTGGAGGCAAATGATTTAAAAAAACGCTTGGTTCCATACTTTATATTCACCCTGTATAAATAAGACGTATAACTAGTTGCATTAATAGCACGAAAGTGTGAAAAATGACTATTTCAACAATATGTTACGTATAATGTATTTATTTAGTCATTAAGTTTCTACCATTAATAATAGAAAAATAATGTAAATGTTATGCAAGATTTATTTTATTGTGTTGTGGTATTTACTTTAGCTGAGAATTGTTAAAAACAGTGTGTGAGTAATTCACTAAATTAAATTGTACTCATGTTTAAAGAGAATTTTTAATTTCTATTAAATTAAATTGATCTGTTAATTACGTTTTAGTTGAGAGAAGGATTTCTGCGAAACGAGTCCCCATCTATACATTTTGGTCCATTGAGTAATAAGGCGAATTCTCCGGTTAGTTCAAGCTCGCATCAAAAAAGGCCGTCCGCATCGATTCCGGGTAAAAGTGGTGGCAAACAAAAGGGAAATTCCCGCTTTGCCGCTTCGCTTCAATGGAATTGAATTTAGAAAAAAGCTCGGAAAGCATACTAAAGACATATAAAGTTGACACGTCCAAACTCGGCGAGCTTTTTAACCGGTTCTCTCTTTCTATCTCTGTGAAAACGAGTTGAAACGTGAACGAGGACCGGTTTTAGCTTTACACTTGTAGTTTCTAGCTTACGCTACGCCATACGAAAGGAGTTAGTTAGGCAATTATGCAACTCCTCTGTGTGAGACAGAAAAGCATTATGCAGACGAGAAGAGAGCATAACAAACCGGCGAAGACCAATCACAGACCGCTTGGGAATCAGACCTACCTTTGTCATCAATGGGTTACCGACGAGTCCATGTTTGCCGAAGGGGGAGGTCGCGTGTCTTTTTCCTGGGAATTTCCGCAAAAAAGTCCGGATTTTGCGTTTTTTGGCTTGGAGTGGGCTTGTGGGGGTTGATTTTAGGGGGTTTTGGGGGTTTTAGACGAGAGGTTGGGGTATTTGTGGTGTTTTTCGGCCGTTGTAAGTATTGACTTCCCCCCGGTAGTATTAATAGACTGTTTACGGCACGCAGCGCACTTACTAGACGTACAATCAGTAGTAGAACGTCTCGCTTGGAGTGAGGAGGTACTAAGTGAATTGACTGAAATGCAATCCGGTTGTCCTTAGGGCTGTGCTTAGGTCGGCTCGTCGATGATGAAATCGCGAGTTGGTGACGAATTTTAGTGAATCAGGTATAAATAAGCATCGTCAAGGTGGCGACGAAATCAGGAAGTAAGTCCCGGAAAGAAAATATGCTCAAGTTCCTCACTCACAAATTGCGGACGCATTCGATAAACGAAGATAATTACGTTGAAAAGGTGTGTATTCATTGCCGGAGCTGAAATTCGTAACAATATTAACCTCATTGAAGGTCATAACCGAGTGAAAAATGGCTGCCCCCGACAAAAGCTCGGAACAAAGGAATGCATGTTCCGGGTCCATTTTCAGACGCTTTTAGAGATATTCGGCGTCCGGAAAACAGTCCGGGGGACTGATTCGACGTCAAACTGTCAAATTCGAGCGTGTTTGTCGCGATTATTTATAAACCGGCTAATGGCTGAATATTTGTTAATGTTATTCGAGGTTCCTTGAGTCTGAACGTTCTCTCATTGTTGATTTCTCTAGGCTGATGAAGATCGCGATTCCGGGACCGAATCCGACGAGGAAATTGATGACCCGGACTTACCTCTAGGTAAGTCCATTTCAATTTTCGACTTTACTTTCATTCTTCATCTTACCGACAATAACAAATGTTTTATTTGCTTCATTGAATCACCTGTGTGGTCATTGCCGGCCAAGTGCCCCCCGAGTGGTGGGTTATTTTTAAAAGCGACACTTGTGTGTGGTCCTGCGGACAGATCAATGATACCCTATTACGAAAATACACCTCCAACCTCCGGATTTGACTGCAACTAATCCTATTTTTGATTCTTGTCACGCATCGTTACTTTCTAATAACCGTATAAATATTTCTATAAACCCTACCCTATCTAAATATGGATTTCATGAGCGAGGTCATGACCTATGCAGCTTTTATGTTTGCGATAGCATAATTCAGGATCTTGCTTCAAAGGTAGACTTGTTTGGTCTTGTGTCTATAAGACAAGACACGTCACCACCACTTTGTTGATACACGCATTCTTATTCATACATGACAATCGACAAATTTAAAAATTAAATTTATACCAATACATCCGTTACACTCGCTGAAAAACATCTTCGTATTATGAAGCCATTGTAATCGACCGACAACAATTCCGTTATAGAAAACTTATCAGAAATGGTTCGCAAACTTTCCATACACGAGATTTTTCGTTTCACAAAAGCAAAACGACTCACATTCTTAACGAGCTCGATTATTCTTTAACAAGGTTATTTACGACGGAACGCCTCTTCATTATCAATCCGAAATTTTATATAAATAATCCACCATAATCAATAGCAAAGGGAAACAATTATTCCAACTGCATTATATTGATTACAGAAAATTCGTGACTTGGACTTTTTTCGCGAAGATTCTACTCCACATTGTTCCGCTAAATTGCCTTTAACACAAAACCTAATTAAGCATAGCTTTAACAAACAACTAAATTATGACTGAATAGCAATAAAAACACTTTTAAGGCAATAGAAACAAAAAATAGCAACAAAATTATTACAATCCAGAACTTTTTTAAATTTCTCTACATACATATCTATTTTTCTATAAATAACTTTCTCATTTTCAACCATCCTGAAATTGAGATTATTGGATTCCTGCAAATTTAATTTAAAATTGAAAAGTTGTTGGCTAACCCTCTTGAAACGTATTTTTTCAACGGAAATGCAATAATTATTACTTCAACCAAAACCAGTAAGTTTGGTCGAAATTCTGGATAAGTCATTCCAACTATTTGTTTGCTTGCATAACCCAAAATTCTTTACGTTTCAAAACAAAAAATTAAGCAAGAATCTATTTTAGTTTTACTTTTCTAATAAATGAATGCAGTGCAAGCATAAAATGAAAATTCGAAAAATTTGAATTTCTAGGTCAACAATTTGCTCGGTACTCATTAAATAATTCCAAAACATGTAGCGGAATTTTATCACTTTTTAACAATTGTTTATTTCACTGTTTTCCTGTACATTTTTCATTAATTTATCGTTGTATACATTGATAACCTCGGTGTTGTTTTGTTGTGTCAAAAATGTGTAAAAATAATTCTCAATGAAGGGCACTATTGACGCGTAATTTTAATTTTGCAAGAATTAGAAAGTTTTATTGCTGCAACCCTTATTAATTCATAGACGAAACGGAATGTTGTATAAGTGAGGAAAAAGATAAAGGTCAATTAATACACTCACTTTTGCATTAAAAGCTGGATTTTTAGCCGGTTTTATTTTTATCTGATACAGATAATCGAACAGGAAATTGTCATTGTTATTACATTATTTAGATACAAAACATAAATTGAAAATAGGTTTTATCATTAGATGCATCCTTTTGATTTTTAAAAATAAAATAAAATCGACATGAAACAACTTCTTATTACAACTGCAATTATTAAACCCAACAAAGGATTTAAGTTTACTGTGTGAGACTGTAATGATTTCTTTGATGTCTTTTTGGCATTTGTTACCTTTTCAGAGAAGTAGACAAGTCCTGCGGTCATCAAGAAATACTTTGTTGCAGAAAATTAAAAATACAGTCGTTATGCTTTGGTTAAATAAAACACAAAAGAAAGTAAATTTCTTAATTTGTCTGTTCTGGTCAAAGAAATAAATATTTCATCAATTCTAAAAAAGTGTGTTAGTAAGAAAATTTCGCTAGCAAGTCCTGTTGCATCATTATTAGTATATTTTATGAATACATTCAATATTTATGGATGGATCGATGTCTCGACTCGTCAATGGCAATTTAAATAAATGCATATACTGGAAATTCTATCGTCTCTAATACTCTAATTAATCAGGAAAATCCTAGAAATAGTTGATTACAGGTTGTGTCGCTCATAGTATTTTCCAGCAAAATTCAATACAGTTTTAATTGCAATTAGTATTTTACACCGAACCTTGTATTTTTTTACATTTAATCGTTATAAATTACTTTTTTCTGATTTAGTGTCAGTATTTTATTTTTGCGTTTCTAATAACAAAAACAAGTGAGTGAAGTGTTACAGATGAAAAACAACCATTTGTTCTCTGATTATAAATTTAATTAGGATAATTTGAGCATCGAGTGAGATGATCTAGAATGTAAAGTAGGTGGTTATGTAGGAAGGCCATCAGAGTAGAATTTAAATTTCACCATTTTAATGCAACTATAAAATTCCCAACTTTGAGTATAAAAACGAGCATATGTAGTGCTATAATAACAATAAAAGAACCCACAAGTTATATCAGTTAATCCGCGTAATAAAATAAATTTTCAATGATATAGAAGATACTGGAGCAATAAAACTTGGTATTTGTTAAAGAGAAACATTTTGCAAAAGTTGTTAATGAAGATTAAGGATTGCAGCAGCGCGAATGTAAAAAATAATGTCGTTGATCTTTGAATTTTGGCCGAGTTTCAAAAGAATGCATCATTCTCTTAGCATTATAAAAATAAACAAGCGGCTACTTGTCGACAACAATAATTACAAACGTTGCTGCAAGCAGCCTCATGATGGATTCGTTGAAAACATTGCCTTTTCATTGATCTGTGTGAAAAAATCCCAACATGACACATTGTCGGTGATACGCTTTCTTACCATTTTGAAACAGTTGCTGTGTATGTTGATAAGATTATTACGTAAACGATTTTATACAAATCATGAAACATTTCAGATTTATACAGCGATACCTATCGTGTTACTTGAGTAAACATTATTTTTAGCGCCACCAGCGAAACGAAAAGATTTTCTATTTGCTTGACTTTATTCTTTTTTTATAACGTAATTTTCCCAGATATTTCGAATAAATAATATTTCTTGACAAGGCAAAAAACAACTATTTTTTTTTAATCTAAATTGCAAATTGTTGACTAATATTGGAACACATGTAGGTATCTCGTTATTATGCAAATGAATTTTTGCAGGAAAAATGCCACTATTTATCGGGTTTTCATTAGCATAGTGTTAAAAATTCTAGCGTTGTGGCCATTGGCTAAGAGGCTCCCTTGAAAATTCACTGCGCTAATTTTCTTTTCTATAACTATTCCCTCGATTCTTGACAATAATCCATTTTATTATCCATTGTCTTGCGCTGCATTGTTTCCTAACAGCCTAATATTAGGAATGTTCACATACTTAGCTTTTGAATAATTCTGCAATTAATGCCACTTTACGGCTAACCACTAATCTCCTTCCAATTGCATTAACCGTAACTGCAAATTAGTTTTTTTTTTCTGTTAATTAACGAAACTTCATTGTCTTCGATTTTTTCCTCCAGTAGTTGGAAATTGTTGGATCAGACAAGTTATGATAAGTAAAGGTAGCGGCAACTAGTCTCGAATATTTTTAGAACCAGTTTAGAAGTTGTGTAACTGTTTGCTTTTCTAATAGTTGTGCATCGAACGTGACCTCCACTAATTATTATCAGTAGCGAGCAAAATTTCAATATTACATTTGCTGCACACGTTTTGCCTCACCCTCACCGATACTTAATTCTGCATCAGTGGTTTTCAACTCTCTATTAAAGGATGAACTTGACTCATCACTTTAAAAAAAGATTTTCAATTAAGTTTTAATGGGTTACGTCCTAACTAGACGCTAATGACTACGGCATATTTTTCAAAGAAACTTATTTAACTATATTTTCTCTGATGACAAAAATAACCCTGGAATCATTCAACAAGCTAAATCAATTTGATATTGACAAACTTTGAGTTATTTATTCGTATATTTTGTCTTGATGGATAAAAAATTGATCTGCACGACAAAGCTATTCAATTTTGTGTCGGATACTTTATAATAAATTATTAATGAGAGTAGGAATGTGCGGAAAAGTGGAAAACAAAAAATATGTTTAGAAAAAACACGTTGTGATTTTAATAACTTGGTATTCTGGAATTACTATAAAAGGTGATTTTTTCAACGGAATAAACATTGATTGATAAAAAATATTCTCTATTGATGTGGTAATAGAACAAATATAGTTATCAACCTTTTGGTGTTTGAATGCTATTTCCGGATGAATTTTAAACATAGTTAATTGTTTAATGATTAATATTATCGCTCCCGTTATCAATTTAGTACAAGTTGTTTCTCTCGACTCGACCTGTTTTTTCAAGTACCTTATTTTGTTGTTTACTTGCAATATTAAAAAGTGAACTTTAGGGGCAAGTAGCGAAACAATTTAATTGCCAAGTTAACGAATAAAAGTGAAGTCGTAATCGTCGTTAATTCGATTATTTCGAATCAAGAAGAAGAAATAAGTGAGAAATTATAAATTAAAATGGAATTAAACGTGGTTTTTCCCTGAATTCTGTTCTGGCATTGTTTTTCAATGCTTGAGCAGCATTCAAAATTTTCAAATTCAGGTGTAGTTAATTAGATGTGGGTTTAGTTGTAAGTCAGGGAATAGTTTAGATTTGTTTAGAGTCTGGAAGAATAACAAACAGTTAATTAAACGTTTACAGTAATTAAACCGTTAAGCCCTCCTTAAACAGGTAGACATATCAGTTGGTGAAACAGACTGGTTAAATCCAATTAAGTAACAATTGTCTTTAGA